TACTGGCATCTACAAAAGAAAAGAAGTAAATGGAGATAGAAACAATGTAACTGTGTAACTCGGCTTCTGATCAGAGGACTCCGGGCAGGGAGTGGTGATCGGAGCAAGTGGTGGACAAACCAGCACTTGGCCAGGTAGATAGTGAGCTGTGTCCAACCTTTTAGCCATACGGTCAATATCCCCGGCTTAAATGGCTGATTGATTACTTAGCATTTAAGCTGATTATAGGAGAAGGGTCACTTCTTTGGCATTTATTATTGAATACAACTTTGAAAATCCTCTATAACTTGCTTTAACTTTTTTAGGAGATGTTCTGTTTTCTTTTACATTTACGTTAAATATTCAGCAAATGACAAAATAATCCAGTTCAGATCAGGCAAAGCCCGGGCTATTGATTAAACCTCGGGGTTTGATCTATTTAGCAATTCATACTTCCCCGTTTACTCATAAATTCATCCATATGATAGTCCTTGTTAAATAACCTGCATTCTCCTAGATATCTGCAAGCGTCACTGTGTGTTGGGCTGCAGCCTGTGGAGAAAAGAACAGATTCATTAAGAAGGCATTTGTTTTTAGCATTCAGGCAAGCATAACAGATTGCTGTATTATTTGGAATGTAGCATGCAGGTGTTTACCCCAACAACAAGGCTGCAAGTTGGAACTTAAAATTTACACTGGAGAACCAGGGATTTGTAACAGGAGATTCTACCATCAGACCACCAGAGAATTCTGGTTCACCCTCCTTGGTCAGAAGTAAGAGGCAAAAAGGGTGAACTAACCTTATAGTTTAACAATAAAATTATAAAAATAATGTATAATAAAATAATGATAAAATATAAAGCTTGCAAAGAGTCAGTCGAGATACAACGCACATTCTGCTTCTATCTAGCATGCATTGTAGAAAACTTTATAGCTGTATAATATTGTACACACTGTTTGCATTGATATTGACGTTAGGACCTGCGTGTCCAATTTTTCGTGTTTTTGCCATACTCAATAAACAGCTTTGAGAAATAAAATATAAAGCTGCCCTTCTCACCCCCTCTACAGATCACGGTCATTATCCCACCCCACAAATGTGCACACACATGCTGCATCCACTATACACACACACATACACAGTATCCACTATACAAACATACACAGTATCCACTATACACACATACACACTCTGCATCCACCATACACACATACACAGTATCCACCATACACACATACACAGTATCCACCATACACACATACACAGTATCCACTATACATACACACTCTGCATCCACCATACACACATACACAGTATCCACTATACATACACACTCTGCATCCACCATACACACATACACAGTATCCACCATACACACATACACAGTATCCACTATGCACACATACACACTCTGCATCCACCATACACACATACACAGTATCAACTATACACACATACACACTCTGCATCCACTATACACACATACACAGAAATAAAATATAAAGCTGCCCTTCTCACCCCTCTACAGATCACGGTCATTATCCCACCCCACAAATGTGCACACACAAGCTGCATCCACTATACACAGTATCAACTATACACACATACACACTCTGCATCCACTATAGACACATACACACACAGTATCCACTATAGACACACATTACATTCACTATTCACACATACTACATCCACTACACATACCCACATCCAATAAACACATACACAAACTGCATCCCCTATACACACACAGCCAGTGGTGTATCCTGGTTTTGTGCTGCCCTAGGCAGGACAAAACGCAGGCGCCCCTCCCCTCCCCCCGCGCCAACCCCCCCTGCACCAACCCCCCCCCGCCTTCTAAATACACACACACACTCACTGACAGATATGCATACACTCGCTAACAGAAACACACACACACACTAACAGACACACTCACACTCACTAACAGACATACACTCACTAACACACACACACTCACAGGCAAACACACTCACAGGCAAACACACTCACACAGTCAGACACACACACACTCACTGACACACTAACAGACAAACATAGTCAGACACACACAAACAGACACACTCACTCACTAGCAGACACACACACACACACTAACAAACACACACACATTAACAGACACACACACACTCACAGGCAAACACACACTCACTGACACACACAGGCAAACACACACTCACTGACACACAGTCAGACACACACACATACACACTAACAGACACAGTCAGACACACACACACTAACAAAACACACACACATTAACAGACACACACTCACTCACTCACATTAACACATTTTTTTATTTATTTTTATTTAGCCCCCCCCCTTACCTTTGGGAGTGCTGGGGGGAGGGGTTCATTACCTCCCTGGTGGTCCAGTGGATGCCGGCTGGGCTAGGCAGGCGGCTGGCGAGGGAGCTCTTCCCCTGAGCGGTCTGCTCAGCTCCCTCGCGCGCCGCAAAGTGAGGCTGGGAGCCGGAAGATGACGTCATCTTCCGGTTCCCAGCCTCACTCTGCGGCGCGCGAGGGAGCTGAGCGGACCGCTCAGGGGAAGAGCTCCCTCGCCAGCCGCCTGCCCAGCGCCGCCCGCCAGCCCAGCCGGTCAGTTAGCCGCGAGGCTAACAAAGCATTTGCCTGGGCATTTGGGGGGCGGCTTTTTTGCCGCCCCCTGAAAAATGCCGCCCAAGGCAAATGCCTTGTTTGCCTCGCGGCTAAAACGCCCCTGCACACAGCACTGACCAAATACACAGGCACCGCGTCCCTTACATACACGATACCCATTATACACACACACACACACACACACTGCATCCTCTACAAACTTGAATTCCTTACACACATACACTACATTCCCTGAACACACACGCTACATCCCCTACACACATACGCTACATATAAAACATGTGGTCATGGGCAGGCTGAGCCGGATGGACCTGAGCTAAACACACTGGCTTGTTTTTCAAACCATTATTTGCCAATTCTGCTATTTAACTACATTTATATGCAAACAATATGGAGGTTTATATCATAGATGGATGATGGTGTATGTTATTTCACCCTTATCATATTTGCTCTTTCGCTTCAAGAAACAACTCTTCAAAATGTCTACATAAAAGAATAGAATATAGTGTAATATTGTTTAAACACCAACAAGCATAAATATTTGTGGACTCCTGTTCACACATGTGAGAGCATTTCGGACCAACTCTCAGTCAAACAGCGTTGTGCACCCGATTATAGACCATATCACTTTAAAGGAACACTATAGTCACCTTAATCTCAATTAAGTGGTTTGGGTGCAGTGTCCCTGTCCTTTTAACCCTGCAATGAAAAATATTTTTTTTAGAAACTGCAGTGTTTACATTTTAGGGTTAAATGCACCTTTAGTGGCTATTTTCCTGACCACCACTGGAGGCATTTCCTTCTCCAGACCAAATAAAACTCAATCTCAAAGCAGCATTTCACTGAAGGAGAGCAGCGTTTGGGCACACATGCCTAGTTCAAATCCTTTGCTTTGCTGTGAGAAGCAATGGATCAGAGGAGATTGCGAGTTTTGTCAGCCAGGATTCTGACATTACCCGAGGTGGACCTGAGACTGCAGCAGAAGAGTCTCTGCACTGGAAACAAGGTGAGTAAACCTAATTTTTGGGGATTTCTTTGAAAATATATAGTGGAAAAAGCACAAATACAAGTACCCATCAGTGCAGCTTACCCTTTGGATTTTAAATGGTCTATAGACACTCACTGTCTATACGAGCACATAAACATGCACTGTGTGACTGTTTTAGGGAGACACGTCCCTATGTTTCCAATATTTATAAATCCAAAGGGTAATCTGCACCTGTGCATGCTTACATTTATGCCTTTTCCCCTCTTCTATGAGGAAATCAGAGGATAGAACTCAGTGGGACTAGAGTTCCACAGCTAGTCTCTGTTTGTGGAGTTCTTAAAGGTGGCACAACATTTAATCAGGTAGAAAGTGGTGTTTAAAAACAAACAAAAAAGTATACACACTATACAGAGTGAAGGTAGAAACCATATATTAGGGAGAAGTCAGTGTACCTCACTGACACCTAAAACACATACAATCATGTTGTATGGAGATACGCCTACTATATTTCATCACCTGTAAGTGAGACCAATAAATGTGATTTTGTATTTTTATTACATACTTCGCTATATTTGGTTCTTTATTTGCATATATTCCACGGAGGATCTTCTATTCAACACATTACATATTACCCCTGGGAGGGTGAGAAGCCTGATTTCATGTTTGTTTGTGAGTGCACCTATTTCTATTAAATACCACTCACTGAATAAATACTGTATTACGCTATGTCAGTTTTCAAATTTTTTATACAGATTTCACTAACGAACCACTACCTATATCTCATGTTATTTGTATTTTTCTTATACTGCCACGTATTGGGAGGTGTTTCCACTGTATGTTTCTAGAAAGTGGTGTTTGAATGAAAGCTGGTCCTAAAAGCTCTGAGAGTTATGAGTATGAGTCCACGAACATTTTTGATTATTGGTGCATAGACCATATTACACTATATTGTATATTTTCTCTTTTTTTTATGCATACATTTTTAATTTGTTTCTTAAAACGGTAGAGCAAGAGCGAATAAGAACCAGTGGTATTAAATGTATGTTTCCACTTAGAGGAGTTTGCTTTCTGGAAGTGATAGTCCATCACTGTACCATTTTATTTGTCTGTTTTTACATTTTACTATAATCACATTACATTACAACCCGTTGGGCTTTTGTCAAACTCTTTTAATAAAATGATGGTCCCCAACCCACTTCTACTGCCATGATAATGATTATTAGAGTTATTTACTAAAGTACGAATTCAAAGAGAATTCAAAGTGGATTAGAAATTTAAGGTCAGAAGAGCTAAACTTAAAGTGCAACGGGCTTAAAGAATTTCCCAGTTCGGCTTTTGTAAGTGTACGTGAGATGTCCTGACATTGGTTAAATATATGGACAGTGGGAGAGTGCTATGTGTGTTCAATCTGTGATCATGACTTCAATTCTATCAGTTTTCTCATGATTTAGAAGCACCAAGCAGCAGATCAGAATACAGTTTTGATGTTGCAGACGTTATTCAGAATTGAGCTGGGATTTTGCAATTTTAAGTAGGAAAAATAATAGCAAAGTCTGTTCAGTAATATTTCTAATTGGCTACATTGGTCTAAAATGTGTAATTCTGTTGTAAATTCCCAATAATTCACATTGAATAACCCAGTCAGAGTGTTTTACATAACTGCTCTTAATGTCACAGCTTACACAAACTTAATTTCACATATTGTTAGCATCAGATACAATTTGTATTTTATTTATTTTTGCAGCTAAAAAACACACCTCGAACATTGTCTAAACAAAAATTGTAAATCCCTACCGTTGTTACATTCAGGTTCCATCCAGCCTTCCAGACAGGTCTTATTACCATTTTGATCACACATATAATGTCCAAAGAAGTCATCCCTTGGCTGGCCAAATTTGGCACATCCAAGACCGTAATGATGTTTGTCACAAATTACTTGAATTTGGTATGTGAAATGTTTCATGTTTTCACTCTTCTCTACAATCTGCCACTGTTCGCTTGGTGTAGTTGTACCATAGTAAATGGTATTCTCTATGATTTGATCAGGTTCTGCACAGGAAGACAGAGAAGAATTTCATCATGATGGATGATACAAAGTGACAACAATCTCTCAAGTGTTCAAAGTAAATATTACGCTTGATGCAACGCCTTATGCAGAAACTGAAATATACTTTAGTCACTACAGTTTGGAGACTGTGAAATATGTGTCACACTCCCAGAATCCTGTGCATTAATAAACAAATTAGCACCAGGCAGCTGATCATCAGTATCGCTGTTAGAATCCTGTGCTTCAATAAACAGTGTGTAAAACATCTGGAAAAGGAGTTGGGAATGCATTAAATTAGAAACATTAAAACTTTAAAATGAAAATGATATTTTTGCAAAGATACATATGTAAAAACATTTTTTACCTGAAGCTGAAAGAGACAAGGTGAATTGTCAGGGTAAGGCTCACCTAAGAGGTTTGCATTGAGCTGGGAGGTTAGCTTACATTAAGTGGCCAGTTATCTAAATATGCATAGGGATTTGAGAGAGTGCTCAAGTAACATATTGTGTGCTATAGTCATTGCGGCCACCCAAGAGTATTTTATTTTTATTATTTTTGTGTACACATAAAAAACATTTGTTTGGTAAATTGAATGAATGCAAGCTTAATCAAAAACTTCAGCACTGAATTAACCCCTTAAGGACACACAACGGAAATATTCCGTCATGATTCCCTTTTATTCCAGAAGTTGTGTCCTTAAGGGGTTAAACTTGTATTAGGAGCAATCCTGTTTTCTACAAATTACAATTTGGCGTCTTCACTTAACAGTCTGGAAAAGAGCAATGAAGAGGTGTGTGTGGTGAGCAGTGGAGAGGTGTGACCATTGATAACTACCTCCACCATCAAAGTGTACAGTCATGGCCGGACTTAGGGTGTGCGAGCTGTGCAGTCGCACAGGGCGCCCTGGTAGCAGGGTGACCAATACAGCTCGTACACGCAGGGGCGGAGCTAAACACACAGTGGAGGCAGGGCCGGACTGGCCCACCGGGATACCGGGAAATTTCCCGGTGGGCCGCGGCACCTGGGGGCTGCAAGGCCACATAGGTGCCACCGGGTGGCCAATCCGGTGGCACACTGAGAGGGGGCCGGCCGCATTCCAGACTGGAGCCGCCGGGCCGGGTGGCAGCTTCGCCGGTCCCATTCACTGGCTGCTGATGGCTGATGGAGGAGGAGCCTGTCTACCATGCTCCCTCGCGGTTCCCACAATTCCCGGCACAGGAACCGCGAGGGAGCATGGTAGACAGGCTCCTCCTCCATCAGCCATCAGCAGCCAGTGACTAGAGTGCCACCGGACCGGCAAAGCTGCCACCCGGCCCGGCGGCACCAGTCTGGAACGCGGCCGGCCCCCCTGCCTTCTCTAAGGTAAAGGGGGGAGGGAGTGAGAGGGGAGAGACACAGGGAAAGGGGGGAGAGGGGAGAGATGGGGAGGGGAATAGGGAGAGACACAGGGAAAGAGGGGAGGGAGAGATGGGGAGAGGGGAGAGACACAGGGAAAGGGGGGAGGGAGAGACACAGGGAAAGGAGGGAGGGAGAGACACAGGGAAAGGGGGTGAAAGGATGCAGAGGGGGGAGAGAGAGACAAAGAGGGAGAAATGAGACACACAAGGGGAGGGGAAGAAAGAGACAGAGGGGGAAGAGAGAGAGAAAGAGGGAGAAATGAGAGAGACACACAAGGGGAGGGGAAGAAAGAGGCGGAGGGGGAAGAGAGAGACTGGGAAGGAGAGGGGAGACATTGACACAGAGGAGCAGTGAGGGGGAGAAAGAGAGGACCCGGGGCTACGCTCCGGCTCTCACGATGGTGAACTCTAGCCCTGGAGCTACGGGCTACTACTTCCTGGTGGTCGCAGTAGTAGGAGTGAACTCTAGCCCCATACACACACTGCCCACACACACACACACCATACACATTCACACACTGCCCCCACACACACACACATACACATTCACACACTGCCCCCACACACACACACACATACACATTCACACACTGCCCCCACACACACACACACACCATCACACACATTCACACACTGCCCCCACACACACACACACACCACACATTCACACACCCCCCCCACACACACACACACTGAACCTTACACACATTGCACCCCCACACATTGCACCACTGCTCCTATACCCTACTACAGCCCCATATCCCAGCAGACTCCAGGTAAGTTGTCAAACTGTTCTTAAACGTTTTGACTACTTACTCTGGGAGGGGGTGCCAGCACTCCTGGCACCATAACCACTACACAGAGGAGTAGTGGTTATTGTGCATGGAATATTTCTTTAAATAATCTACAAGTACCCCTTCCGGGCTCAGGCTCTGGATCCGTCACTGGTATATGACAGGTATATTATTTTTATATATATATATATATATATATATAAATATATATATATCTATTATAGTTACACATATTAATGTACATTTATATATGCATAATACACAGAGAAATTTCATTAATATGTACCATATGTAATGAGCAGATATTGGCCCAGTCTTGTTGCTAGGTGCATACTCCAGCACAATAACATATTTAAAGTGAAGAGCACACTCACAGGACTTCAAAATAGACCTTTTTTACAGTTGTGCCTTACATACATTCACCATTTCAGTCCCATTAACAAGCTTTCCTTAATATGTCAAGGTAGTTGGACGAAAACATTGATTACATGCAAAGGCACGTCTGCTTAAAATAAATCTGCACTTTTGTTTATTTTGAAGCCTATGAGTGCGCTTTTTACATTGAAGTACTTTTTAATTTTAATTTATCTGTTCTAACTCTGTATCTGCACACTATGCTGGCGCGACACATTATGGGGCTGGTAAATATTTTTTTTCCAGGGCTGCTTTTAATTCCCAGTCTGGCCCTGAGTGGAGGTGGGCCTAAAGAAGGAGTTCCGGCTTCACCAACAACTACTACTTTAATTGTATGTGTGACTGTCTGTCTGCCTTTAACTGTATGTGAGTGAGTGACTGTCTGCCTTTAAAGGACCACTCTAAGCACCAAGACCACTTCAGCTTAATGAAGTGGTCTGGGTGCCTGGTCCAGCTAGGGTTAACCCATTTTTTTTTTTATAAACATAGCAGTTTCAGAGAAACTGCTATGTTTATGAATGGGTTAAGCCTTCCCCCTAATCCTCTAGTAGCTGTCTCATTGACAGCCACTAGAGGCGCTTGCGTGCTTCTCACTGTGATTTTCACAGTGAGAGCACGCCAGCGTCCATAGGAAAGCATTATGAATGCTTTCCTATGTGACCGGCTGAATGCGCGCGCAGCTCTTGCCGCGCGTGCGCATTCAGCCATCGGGGAGGAACGGAGGCGGAGAGAAGGAGGAGAGCTCCCCACCCAGCGCTGGAAAAAGGTAAGTTTTAACCCCTTTCCCCCTTCCAGAGCCGGGCGGGAGGGGGACCCTAAGGGTGGGGGCACCCTCAGGGCACTATAGTGCCAGGAAAACGAGTATGTTTTCCTGGCACTATAGTGGTCCTTTAAGCGTGTGTGTGACTGTCTGCCTTTAACTGGGTGTGAGTGAGTGACTGCCTTTAAATGTTTGTGTGTGTGTGTGTGTGTGTGTGTGTGTGACAGTCTGCCTTTAACTGTGTGTGTGTGTGACAGTCTGCCTTTAACTGTGTGTGTGTGTGTGTGTGTGTGTGTGACTGTCTGCCTTTAACTGTGTGTGTGTGTCTGCACAAATGGGGCCTACACAATATTAGGCAGATGGTTTTAATGTTGTGGCTGATCAGTGTATGTACAAGTAGATGAGCACAACTGTCAGAAGCTTCTGCTGGTTGAATTATTACATGGGGGAAGAGAGGTGTATGTGGGATGTAAGCAATTTCCAAATCTTATATACTTTCTCTAATTTTTGAGCATGTGTTTCTAGCCTAAAAAAGCAGGTCTCTACTACAGCTGTGAGTCTAATATTTAAGATACTGGCAAAAAGTCATGTTTTTATCTTGATATACTATAAACCATTATGTGACTATGAATAATTATTCTATAATAACTGCAAGGAATGTGGAATTTCACCAGTTCTAGTAAATGTATTCACAATTTTTTGGAATGGGAGTGGGGGCGATATGAAACAGATGTTTTAATAAACTGATTGACCTCAAGATTCGGAGCCGAAGCTGCAGGGCCCTCCTGCGGTCACCCTGGACTGATACTCCTTTAGGCAGTCCCTGGTGCACTTTCTGTCGCTGGGATTGCGGATTCCATCGCAGCAATTGCCATTCTGCACCTCTCCATTGGGATTCTGCATTGATAAGATTTCCAATTCGAACTGCCCTGATGCTATAGACACCTGTTAGCAGAAAAAAGCAAGAATGCATCAGATACCTGGGACAAAAATAAAAAAATAAATACAAAAATATATAGCTATAATGCATTGTGTTTCAATGCTGAATTAAAAAAAATAAAATAGGATTTTCTTCCATTGTACTGGCTGCACAAAAAAAAAAAAATCACAGTCAACGAAACATTGTGTTTTAATGCAGACTTAAAAAAAATAGGTTTTAAAAATGACTTTTCTTCCATTGTATTAATTGCAAAAATCACTTAAAGGGACATGCATTTAAAAAAAGAATGCATTCTGTTTAAAGGCACATGGTGGGGTAAAACTAATCCCAAACTTTTCTATAAGAACGATGCACTGTACAGATCGGGGATTATCCTCCATGTGAAGCTTTAGGTTATTAAAAAAAAAAAAAAAGAAGAAACACATTAAGGAGATGCAGCCAATCCTGGTGTTAAGAAGAAGAAAAAAAAATGTTTTATTAAAAAAAAAAACTTTAAAAAAAACTTTTAAAAAAAAAGGACATTTTTTGTGTTTTGTTCTTATGATCCAGAAGTGACTTTTTTTTTTTTCTTTTAAATAAAAAAAGTGAACATACCTTTACCCGTAAGCATA